ATTGTGTTTGTTTCATTCCAAATCCACTGTGGTGGTGTATAGAGCCAAAGATGTTAGAATTATGTCGATGTCCCATTATTTCTTGACCTGACTGTATATCTCCATCTTAATCATCTCAGATGACTTTTCTAAGTTGTTTAGGTTTTTCAGTTTAAAAGTAGTACTTTTAATTTTGACCAAAAACTAATGCAGCTGTTACAGAATGGACAAGGTTCAAAACAGGAGTACTGACAAAGCCACTCCCAGGTAGCTGAGATATGGAGAGCTTGGAAAGCCACTAGAATTGGGGGTAGGGGAAGTCACACAGTCTTAGTGATGAGAGATATTATTTTGATTTATATCCTGCCTCTCTGCCCAGAGAGCTCTCACGTAAAAATTCAGCTTTCAAAAAAAGTAAGAGAATTAAGAGATTAAAGATGAAAGAGATAAGAAAGTTGTAACAAAAAAGAATGCATAGATTTTTGCAATGCTGTATGAAGAGAATTAGCATGATTTCATAATTAAGTGAAAATGGAGAGCGAAGGAAAGAAAAGAAATGCTTGTATACCTAAAAGAATAATCAGGCCACTTGCGATAGAAATGAAAACTAACTGAGGAAGCATAGAGTGAAAAATTGTAAGTAATTCAGTTTTGATACTTTTCTAGGATGATACTTAAATTGGACATGCTGGTGGAAACTAGATAAAGAAAAAAAAATCATTCTACAGCAAATGTTTTGATTCATCTTTGCTGGTTCACTGCATTTTTTTTATTGACTGCAAAAGAGGGAATTTCATTTTCTCACTAGCTAGGACAGAAATTAATATAATCTACATTTACCCATGTGAAATCAAGATTATTAATGTTGATCAGGCAAGCAGTGAAATATGTGAATAATGCAATGACAAAAGAGAACAGATAAAACAAACGGAACCCAAAAAGACACCATTAGAGAAAGAAAGCTGAAGAGAAGCATCCTGCAACAGAAACGTGTGAGCTATCAGACACGCAGAATAAATAACCTAAAACACTGATTAAGTCAAAGAAAAGAGATTGTCAAAGCATATATATTGATTCCCCTTCATGGATCACTGCCTTGTCGTGGCGAAGGGGCTTGCGTAACTCAGTG